CCTCTACCTATATACATATACGTTCCCTCCCGACAGCTTGACCCCCCCACAACCATGTTTGCTCACTGACTGGCGCCGCACAGCAAGCTACTACCCCTCACTTCCTTCGAAGGTGCCCTTTTTCATTTCCAAAACGTGCCTGAACCACGACGAAAAAGGGCACCCGCCGAAATTGTGTACTATACCGTTTGTTTCCACCTCCTATGAGAGTGGCTGATGTCAACTTCACCGCTTCCGGCTACTCTTTCTCCACTCTACCCTCTAACACCCCTGAATACCCCTGACCTAAAACGAAAACAAGCGGCCCTGCCTGCAAACGCCAACCTAATCCTAGGGGCACCCCCCTTGACGCAATGGCTGGCTTCGTCCCCTCCCTTTTCAGGTATTTCAGGTGTGTATATACACACATGTATGTATGTGAGAGTGTAGTGGCCGTAAATCAAAGCACAATGACGAAATTCTCCTGTCGCCGCCCTCGCTTTGTTGTGTTGCGTCTCTGCTAGTACTTTGGCTTGCGCCTCACCTGTACTGGTTTTGTCAATATTGGAGACAAACCTCTGTGTTTCTACTGAGCGATCTCACCGATTGGCGCCACATAATGCATAGCAGCTGGCACATGTCATCGCTTGAGCCTTGAGGAAAGAGCTTTTTCAGTCCACGGATGTCAAAAGATGACAGAGTAAGCCAGCAGGTAGCTGCGCAGCTACGGTCTTCACCCCCGCGGCGTTTGGAAACACCAGCGCTTGCCGCCCGCGGCTCAAGGACAACTTGTTGTTCTCTTCAGAACTTGCATGTCCTCAAGTTGGTTGTATCTTTCCAGGTGCATCGCGCGTCGTTGGAAGCTGGCTTTACTGGCGGGAGCGCTGAGGTAGGGCGAGCCTGATTGGATAATGGAGGTTGTTGGTTGGGTCATTGACAGCGAAGCGTGGGCAGAGGTTGGAATGATTCTTGTGCCTGCGCGCAGGACTTGCTCCCACCTTGGGCATCAGCAATAGAGTTGTCCGAAGAGAGGCAAGCTTTTTGAGTGGAAAGAAATTTCAATGGTTTTCGGAGTCAAAGCGACAAGCCGACGTGACATCTCGGTGAAACTGATGCGGCGCAATGCATTCTCGAAGGCACCCTGTCAAAACCCCTTTGTTGGGCATTCTAGGCAAGGAGTTTTTGCAAGAGCATAGTGGTTGGCAGGGAAGTGGCTGGTATCGCAGCAGCACAGCGACGATGGATGGAAGCAGGCGCAGCTCCGTCTGAGGCTGGATTAGAAACTTTGCGTGGATTAGAAAACCGCAGAAACTTTTGCCGTTTTGCAAACAGGGTCTCAAAGGGTTCCCGCTTAGTGTAGTACAGTAGTACAGTGTGGGTGATGCGGTCCTCGAAGATACCAACACCATTTTGTAGAGTTTTGATTGCTCCATTTCTCCATCTTTCACAACGCACGCACAATTCACCTCCTGTATATCCCATGGGGAGTTCTGGGGAGGATGAGCGGCGCCCGTGGCTAAAGCCATGCTTTGAGATTCGAATTGGCCACAATCTATATCGATCCATATCATATCATACTCAGCCGTGCCTCTCTACAACCTGCAAGGCTCTGCAAGGTGACAATGATGAAGTTCCCTTTTGGTCCTTCCCTGTCCTGCACCTCTCCCGGTCAATTCAAGAAGGTCCACAAATTTCTGCGTTAAGCAGCTAGGGTGAGGGGGCTGCCATATGATTGGTACTGGTATGTGAGTATGTGCTTCCACGAAATGCTGATGTTTTTCCGATCGCAAGGCCATCGACCAAATCGATAGAATCGATGAGATTGAGGCTGCGTGCTGAGATTGTTCAAATTCGCAACTGGCAGCACGACTTTGACGTTTGTCCCTGCGGCAGGCTGACAGCCCAACTTCGAACTGCGGCACTGGCAGTACTATGCTGTCCAACGCATTGAACGCATTGGCTTCCAAAAGCACGCAGCAAGGCAAGCCAAGTAAACACATCTTCCCGCCAACCCGGCTTGGCAGCTTGGCAGCTGGCCTACGCTCCCAGAATGATTTTGAGCAGGGCTTCGAGGCTGAATTTGCTACAAGTGGTTTTACGCGGCCTCTAGGTTTTGAGGTGCGGGATGCATCCCATGTAGAAGGCGCTTTTGAAGCTTCTTTTGGTTTGGAAGAAGCTGACACCGTGGAGAGAACCGAAGTCGGCCTGGATGCAACCTCACGGGTGCTCATCGCTCAGCTGTCTGATCTCCCCGAGGACAAGCATGAAGCAGAGTGAAGCAAAATCATGAGTGCCATGCTGGTTAAAGAGCTTTGTCAGGATGAATTTACAGAGGCTGTCGGCCGCTTCGGGGAGGAGGCGCCCATGCTTTGGTGTCGAGTTTCCACTCAGGAAGTCCTGTTGATGCAAAATTAGTCCTTGTGGCAATTTCTTCTATAAAATTGGAAGCTACAGTACTCTTTTTTGTACAGCTACTTGGTGCCTGGATAGCTACGGGAGGTTGGGCGCTTCAATTTGATAGAGATGTTGGGGGTTCTAATTCTATAGGGGTGGTAGATCTAAATCTAGAGTCTCTGGAGAAATGGAGTGTTGGGTGTTCCAATTCTATAGAAAGACATACAAGCAGTTCCCAGGCAAGCCGGCGGTGGAAGTTTCCTATAAAACCAATTTGACCTATAGGAGTGTCCCTTCACACATGCCCTGCGGACCCCCTTTTTTCCCGGCCCGCAACGATGGCGTCACGCAAGCAGCCCACAACGGTGTAGTCGCTCTGGCACTGTGCATTCGGGTCACACCACCGCACGTCGGAGTGAATGTAGTTACACAGGGCTCCGAATTTGCGCGCACAACCTGTCATACATGCGCAACCAGAGTCTTAACAATGAATGCAACCAAAGACTGTAAGTATGAACTGTGCCAAAAACTTAAACCATAAGTACAAACTGACCTGTTAACAAAACAAATCATTTGCAACCAGTGTTGACGTAAAGCAACCAAAACAGACGCGGAATGTAGAAGGCTTCGTTTTTTCGACAGCGTCTCCCTTTGGAAGGAAACTCACTATCTGACAACCAGGTCCACAACTTGCACTCGGAATGTTACTCGCACACTCGGAATGTACGAGACATCCTTCCAAACCGCTTTAGCTTACTGGAGCTAAAGCTGACTAGAGCTGATGAAAGTCCGTAACACAGAAGTACGCATTTTGTACGAGGCTTCCTTCCAAAGTGCATGTTGAACACCTGCAAAACGAAGCCATTCTGCGAGACTTCCTTCCAAAATGCATGGTGAAGAGCTGACTGGAACTAGGGCTAACTAGAGCTAGAGCTGTTGAAAAACGCATTTTGCACAAGACGTCCTTCCAACATGCATGTTGAAGAGTTAACTGGAACTAGAGCTAGTAGTGGTAGCATGTTGTAGTAGTATGTAGTGGTAGTATGTATGTAGTAGTAGTAGTAGTAGATGTAGTATGTAGTATGTCGTATGTAGTTTGTAGAATGTTGTAGTAGTATGTAGTAAGTAGTAAGTAGTAAGTAGTGTAGTGGTAGTGGTAGTGGTAGTGGTAGCTGTTGAAAGTCCGTAACACGGAAGTTTTGCACCCCAAACTTCCTTTGACTACAATTTTTTTTGTCAATCCAAAAGCGGGGTGCGGGCTCTCTACCGCCGCTCTAAGGAACGGTGTTCCTTGAGGACCTTCATCTTGAATGTACCGTATTGAAATTGGGCTCTCTCAGCATCAATGACGTCTGCTTGATCAAATAGTCCTCTGCCTAACAGTCGATGGTGCTGTCTGCTCAATCTGTTGATTTTGCCCTCAAGTCTAGCACGTAGTACTTCCCTCTGTTCCTGTTCATGTTCTATGCTGTTTGTGTACTCTGGATTTCCACTTCTGAATGATGTTGAGGCTGGTCCATCTGAAAGAACTGCCCCTTGACTTGCTGCTTGTAGTAGTGTGTCATGTCCACTAAATTGTCCACTTGTAAATCTCAAATTGTCTAAGCTCCTTCTTGCTAAGTAGTTTGCTGCATTTGCTTCAGCAGCTGGTTCATAGCTGAAAATTGTGATTCAAGGAATGACTGCACCATCATCAAAGAATTGCTCATCAATTTCCTCCTTTTTCGTCACACTTTCACAATATGCAGGCATGAGCCATCGACCTCCCCTCTTCACCAAAGTTGTTCTCATCAGTTCTGGTCTTCCACCTCTGGAATAAAGGGTGATCAAGCCATGTTCATTGAACTTCCAGCCTGCAGCTTTCTCCAAAGCTTCAGGAATTTGCACCTCCAAGCAGCTTTCATCTTCATCTCGGATGACTCTAATGCAGCCTTGGACTGTCAAACAGCGATTTTGCAAATGAAGTGGTACCTTCAAGTCACCATTATTCTCCAATGTTTGCTCTCGACCATTGATTCCCCAACCATGTTCCATCAGTCTTCCATAACAAAGTATGGGCTGATTCACTTTTGAACTGAAGATCACATTCTCTTTGAGAAGAACTTCATGTCCATCAATGTCATGCAAGGAGATTTCGACACTCTGCATACCCCCGTTGCGGATACGATTCCCCTGGGCATCTTGTAGTTTGGTTGCTGCATTGAACTCTAATTCTCCTTCTCCATGATCCGCCATGTTCAAAGAGATTAAGCTACATCAGCTCCACTGTCGATAATGATGGCCACATCATCTCTCTCTTCTTCTCCAAGTCTTCTTACCTTGGGTCTCTCATTTTCAACCTCCTCAAAGCTTTCCTCAAAAAAGGTCTTCTCTTCCTTTCCATACCTTTCCATGGCTCATCATCGTCATCTCCAATGTCAATGTAGAAGTGAAAACTCGAATTCCATGAGATTCTGAATCATTATGTCTCTCTCGTAGGTCGAAGATGATTGGCTCATTGTTATCAACCCTTCTGACAACTGGTTTGGTCTCGCTGAACTGCTCTGTTGAGTCACAGTGGCTTGTTGTTGAGCAACTGTATGTGTAGTCACTCAACCTCCTCCTGAAGATGAATGAGCTGTGTCACTTGCAACCTGTCGAATATTGTTTCTCCAACAGTCTCGAGCAAGATGTCCGGGCTTTCCACAAGTGCAACAATTCGCCACACCTTTCTTTCTGGTCTTTGCCCTTGCCTTTGCCCTTGTAATCACCTTCCTTTCCTTTCTGTTGTTCTCCTTTTGGTTTCTTTCCTTTTCTTTTGGCATCCTTACCTTTGCCCTTTGCCCTTCTGGAGTTTGCACTGCTACTTGCAACCATTGAAGTAGCCCACTTCTGTTGAGAACGGTCCCATTGCAACACTTGTTCCCTCAAAGTTGAGTATTGAACATTGTCACCAATTGTCAAATTCAAGTAAGATTCGAGCTGTCCACCCACACATCTCAACAGAATTGCAGATTTAATCTCCTCTTGAACCGCTGTCCCCGACTTGACCGTCTCCCCAAACACCTCTTCCAGCTTGAGAAGTTGAGGTTGTACAGCACTGCTCATAGAAAAGGCTGGCCACGTAGTGGCTGCTCTCAAAAGCGCTAATTGTCTGGCTTTTGAGGTAGGTTTCAAAGCTCTGTTCAAACTCCTCCAGGCATCAAATCCATGGGAGTCCGCCACAGCTTTAACCAACTGTAGTGCCTGCCCCTCATCAACGAAGCTAGCAATCCATACAGCTTGATGCATCTGGTCTTCTCTTCTTGTTCTGCCAAGTCCATATCGAAGCTGTGTCATTTGTCTTGTCATGAATCTCCTTCAAGTCCTTCATGTAAGCCTCATCCACTGAACTTAGATACTTCTCAAATACCCATGAACACTCCCTGAATGCGTTGATCTCGAGACTTGTGCTAAATAAGTTGGGCTTTGTGATCAGCTTTGACGAATGCGTTGTCTTCTTGTCTTCAACCGCTTTCTTCACTGCCTCTGCTGCTGTTGCTGCTGCTTGCGTACTTCAACTCCAGGATCTCTTTTATCGCATCCATTGTCCTAAAGCAATATTGCCCAACTAACGCAATGTACGGTGCACATCGTGCAGTTCACAGCAGTTTGTCAACAGGTGAGCATTTTGGGTTCAAAGGCCCCAAATCTATGGCTCGGACGCTCCCGGGGTCCCGGTGACCTAGGGGCTTCTTTTTGGAGCTCAAAGGGGGGGTTCCCTTAACCTTGCTCCGCTACCATACGAACTTTTTCCTCTCAGTCCAAACGCAGGCTGCGGGTGAAAAAGTCAATGACATGCACTGCGATCTCTACTGCTAATTGTTCACACACAATCGTTCTATTTTTCATGTCGGGTGCTCTGATTCTATAGAGAGTCATATTGTGAATGGCTGCTTTTTTGCCGCTAGGCTAGGGTGCTTTGATTCGATATAGAATCACACTTAGATGATTTCTGTGGAGTATGTCTTCTTCGATGTTATACAAAGATTTAGAAATAGTAATAATAACTGGGGCTCCTTTATGTTTTTTCAGGGGCGCATGTATCAGCCAGAGTGCTTTTCTAGGATAACTTTGTCGAATGTGCGTCAAAATAATTTGCTTGAGGTCACTGTGCCAGGAGGGGTCATCTAGGAACAAATAAGGAAAGAAGAAGAGAAAGGACCCTAGGCGCTTCAGTTCTATAAAGGCATGATGGTATAAGGGCATGATGGTTTTCCAATTAAAGTTCAATTCCACAAGAGTTCAATTGGTCGCGATTGATCTGCCAGCTTCTGCCAGCCTAGAATCACCCCAAAACAGCCTCTATCAAACTTTTTGTGAAAACTACTACAAATCCTTATAGAATTGAAGCCCCTCAGGTCTTCCTTCATGCGCTGGCAGCTTCCCAAGCCATCCCAACCGCTGGATTTCCATAAACTTCCAGGTGAAACGTGGTGGTTCTTAGTGTACAGGGAAACGCATCTAAGCCAGTCTCTAGGCCATTCAAGGCCCCTAAGACTACCATCTGTCCTTAAACCTGGGCAGGTCATGGCAAACCTTTGGAATCTGCCAGGCATGAGAAAAGGGCTCAATTCCAAAGGAATAACGGTTTTCCCCAACCAAATGTTCAGATCTATGAGGGTTCAGTTGGCCGTGATTGGCCTGCCAGCTTCTGCCAGCCTAGGGTTGCCAAAACCACAAATCGTTATAGACTTGAAGCCGGTCTTTCCCTCATGAGCTGGCAGCTTCCAAGCACTGGATGTGCATTTTAAATTTTCCACCTTGGGGAAATTTGGTGGTTCTTAGAGGACAGGGAAAGCAGATCTTAGCCACCATCGAGGCCATTCTGCAATTCTTTCCACCCTTTTTGTCAAGCGTAATGCAATCCAAGCAGAAGCCAACAGATTACACGTCAGCAGCGCACAAGAGGAGAGAGCGCAGCGTTTATGTACAAGATTCCTCGG